ACGAACTAACTTGCAGTCCCGATGCAGCTTTGCGACAACGAGGTTCACTCTGTGTGAATACTCAAGGTAAGTCCGGTTGACGAGATTGGTGAAGTATTGTTTCACAGACAACAGACGTGAGCACAGAAACATGGATGAAAAATAAAGGCCAAGAACAAATGAAGTTAGCCTCCTGCTCACCTCACAGGGCAATTTTGCGGCGTGTACCGAGTAATCCATTGTCTTCGTTGCAGCTTTGTCTCACGCAGCAATAACAAAGTCATTCACATTTCTGCGCACTAACTGTGACAATTATATCGCGGCTGCAGAACCTTCGAGCTAGTTCATGGCATATTCATTTTGTACTGAATCGACGCTTCGCGAGTTGATTGGCCGCGAGACCATCGTGACTCCCTTATTCGCACTTCAAGATAAGCGACTTTTTAATTAAGAGCGCCATGTGCATTCTAACATTTCAGAGGTGTTTACGTTATATGACTCATGAATAAAATTCACGGTTGAATTCCAATCAGTAAAAGCGCTGCGTTGTCATTTTATATAGGTCAATCACAGTTTCGGTTCTAAACAACCAACGCGATTGATTAGCAATCTATAAAGGAAGCAATACTTATCCTCAGTGGTTATAATTAGTCCCCACAGGCAGATTCAAGAAAAAAAGAAAGATGGATTCGTTTTTGTAACCATAAACTTCATGGGCACCCATATCGCTTTCCTACTTAAACGAGAGGTGTGCTCAGATTTGGGTGCACGTTAAAGAACCCCAGGTGGTCGAAATTTCCGGAGCCCTCCACTACGGCGTCTCTCATAACCATACGGTGGTTTTGGGACGTTGAACTCCACATATCTATCAATCAATATCAAATTACTTAAACGACAGACCTATAAACATGTTAGAAAGAAAACACCGCGTCATTCCTCATTTCGGGTCTCACAGCACAAAAACATGACAGAAAAGCTCAAAATTTTTGAAAGCTAAAAGAAAGTGAGATGCTAATTATGAGTGAGTGAGTGAGTGAGTGAGTGAGTGCAGCAACCCGAACTTGCCACCCGAATGTGCCCTAAGACCCGCCGCGGTGGTCTAGTGGCTAAGGTACTCGGCTGCTGACCAGCATGTCGCGTGATCGAATCCCGGCGTCGGCGGCTGCGTTTTCGATGGAGGCGAAAATGCTGCAGGCCCGGGCGTGTGCTTAGATTTTGGCGCACGTTCAAGAACCCCAGGTGGTCGAAATTTCCGGAGCCCTCCACTACGGCGTCTCTCATAATCATATGGTGGTTTCGGGACGTTGAACTCCACATATCTATCAATCAATATCAAATTACTTAAACGACAGACCTATAAACATGTTAGAAAGAAAACACCGCGTCATTCCTAATTTCGGGTCTCACAGCACAAAAACATGACAGAAAAGCTCAAAATCTTTGAAAGCTAAAAGAAAGTGAGATGCTAATTATGAGTGAGTGAGTGAGTGAGGGAGTGCAGCAACCCGAACTTGACACCCGAATGTGCCCTAAGACCCGCCGCGGTGGTCTAGTGGCTAAGGTACTCGGCTGCTGACCAGCATGTCGCGTGATCGAATCCCGGCGTCGGCGCCTGCGTTTTCGATGGAGGCGAAAATGCTGCAGGCCCGGGCGTGTGCTTAGATTTTGGCGCACGTTAAAGAACCCCAGGTGGTCGACATTTCCGGAGCCCTCCACTACGGCGTCTCTCATAATCATATGGTGGTTTCGGGACGTTGAACTCCACATATCTATCAATCAATATCAAATTACTTAAACGACAGACCTATAAACATGTTAGAAAGAAAACACCGCGTCATTCCTAATTTCGGGTCTCACAGCACAAAAACATGACAGAAAAGCTCAAAATCTTTGAAAGCTAAAAGAAAGTGAGATGCTAATTATGAGTGAGTGAGTGAGTGAGTGAGTGAGTGAGTGAGGGAGTGCAGCAACCCGAACTTGCCACCCGAATGTGCCCTAAGACCCGCCGCGGTGGTCTAGTGGCTAAGGTACTCGGCTGCTGACCAGCATGTCGCGTGATCGAATCCCGGCGTCGGCGGCTGCGTTTTCGATGGAGGCGAAAATGCTGCAGGCCCGGGCGTGTGCTTAGATTTTGGCGCACGTTAAAGAACCCCAGGTGGTCGAAATTTCCGGAGCCCTCCACTACGGCGTCTCTCATAATCATATGGTGGTTTCGGGACGTTGAACTCCACATATCTATCAATCAATATCAAATTACTTAAACGACAGACCTATAAACATGTTAGAAAGAAAACACCGCGTCATTCCTAATTTCGGGTCTCACAGCACAAAAACATGACAGAAAAGCTCAAAATCTTTGAAAGCTAAAAGAAAGTGAGATGCTAATTATGAGTGAGTGAGTGAGTGAGTGAGTGCAGCAACCCGAACTTGCCACCCGAATGTGCCCTAAGACCCGCCGCGGTGGTCTAGTGGCTAAGGTACTCGGCTGCTGACCAGCATGTCGCGTGATCGAATCCCGGCGTCGGCGGCTGCGTTTTCGATGGAGGCGAAAATGCTGCAGGCCCGGGCGTGTGCTTAGATTTTGGCGCACGTTAAAGAACCCCAGGTGGTCGAAATTTCCGGAGCCCTCCACTACGGCGTCTCTCATAATCATATGGTGGTTTTGGGACGTTAAACCCCACATAACAGTCAATCAATGTGCCCTAACGCCACATTTGCTATAGGTCGCCTGACAGTGCTCTGACCGTGTTTGAAAGTGATGAATTCATCAGCTTTCAGACTAGATACGAGGACCATAAGCAGGCCATGTTTCTCTTTCCTAATCATGTACTGACCCGATTATTTTAGCGGCACTGCTCAAAGTTGCCATTTCGCTTACACACTTCGCAGCCTCCGGAGCTCTCGAAGATGGCCAGTCAAATGTACCGGTAAATTGAGAGCGGATAATAGCGACGCATATAAGAACACAAACGCACCAGGGCAGCACCACTTACGAAACCTTGCGTTGTTCGTCTCGTGGCGATATTTCGAACATTCTGGAATAACGTCATCTGTCATCAGCGGTGATTGGCCTAGAATGTTGCTTCACTGCCTCTCGTCGACGAGATATAACGAGAGCTGACGCGAGTCCAAATCTGTCTTGTATGTGGACGTAGAAAGACGACTGCGCACTTACCGCTCGATTGTCGCGGTGCCGGTGACAGAGAGGCGATTGACGCCACGCCCTATATACAAGATTGATCACGGTCCCCATGGTCGAAACCGGAATTCGGGACTCCCCATGGTCGAAACCGGAATTCGGGACTTTAGCAGCAGCCGTCAGCGATCCCAATTGCTCTGAATATGCTATGTTGTTTCCATTTTTGCTGTATCGTATAGCTTAAGCACCCGCTGAGAAAAGTAATGTCCACATATAGCGCTTGTTTTTATTTGTTTCTGTATTGTGCTTCTCATCTTTTCCGTCCAACCTATCTCCATCGTTGCGTAGCCGATCGGCATGTCGATCCCGTTAACCTGCCTTCCTTTTTTTAAAGACTATAGTCGTTTTTGGGGACCTTCGACACAAAAAATTTTGGTCTGCCTGTCTGTCTGTCTGCCTGTCTGTCTGTCTGTCTGTCTGTACATTTGTCTGTTTGTCCACTCTTACCGGCATCGGGTACTTGAAACGGCCGACCCCATCCGCAGCGACCACCAATGTTGCTCAAGGTAGAGCGTTCATGCTTGTGCAATTTTCACTTAAAAAGCAATTATTGCGCATGTCTGGGGAACGATAACAACACGCATATATTCTGCATATGCATCTCTTACTAGAAAACGCATACATAAGTAATTTTAAGGAGCGTAGCGCTTATCACGCTGCGCTTACCATGCAACGCTTGCACGGAACGGGGAGTGTTTCCAACGCTTTGCTAAGACGAGATGGTGGTGGCACCTACCCGTCGCCTCGCGTCCTACACCTTATCACCTCTGAGACGGGCGCGCACGGTCACGTGCTTTGTTTTCCAAAAGAAACTGCCAGATGTCGCTCATGTCTCACGTGTGACGTGACTTGATGCGCTCGTTCGCCTCCGCTGCACGCTCGAGGCACTCTAACGCAGCGCCTCCGGAATACCATCCACCGATTTTCTTGCGCAGAACATCAAAAAAAATGTTTTGTTCACTCTCTCCACACGCAAGACTATCGTCTTTCAACGACATTTGCAGTTATGGAGCGTGGAAGCTTGGGGAAGTTGGTAGGACATAACTGAATGCCGGAACAGCGCAACTTAGAAGTAGTTACTTCGTATCTACGGAAGCAAAAAAAACTGTCCTCGTTTTTTTGCTTCCGTAGTTACGAAGTAACTACTTCTAGGTTGCGCTGTTCCTGCATTCAGACATTTGCAGATTACATGCCGATACGAGGCCAATTTTTTATCTATCTAGATTCAGCTCATTGACGGAAAGTTAATTTTTTTGACTCTTTATGTTCTCTTTCCTCTCTCTCCCATTTTATCCTGCCGTTTCCATTCCCCCAGCGTATGATAGCAAACCGGTCGTCTGTCTGGTTAACCTCCCTGCCTTCCCTCTAGTTGTTCTTGTCATTCCCTATCTATCTATCCATCTCTATCTATCTATCTATGTGTAATTCCGCAGTATTGATTGATATGTGGGGTTTAACATCCCAAAACCACCATATGATTATGAGAGACGCCGTAGTGGAGGGCTCCGGAAATTTCGACCACCTGGGGTTCTTTAACGTGCACCCAAATCTGAGGACACGGGCCTACAACAATTCCGCCTCCATCGGAAATGCAGCCACCGCAGCCGGGATTCGAACCCGCGACCTGCGGGTCAAGCCGAGTACCTTAGCCACTAGACCACCGCGGCGGGGCAATTCCGCAGTATTGAATCGTCACAATTTTCCACAACAGGGCCGAAATCTCATAATGTTCAAAACGAAGCCTTCGCCCTTTCTTTCTTGTTCCTCTCCCTTCGCGACGCCGTTTGTTGTCACTTGAGCAGACCGCCGTGCTTCTCCTCACCTGCGACACGAGTAGCCGATTGGTGTGGAACGGCTCGGTGGGCGACGGCGGATGACGTGACGGCAGCGGTGCTGGTTCGGCTGCGGGTGGCTTTGCCGTCGACGCCGCAGGAGGCGGGATGGTGCGCAGGGTGCCGTTCGACTGCGCCCGGCTCTCTCGCCGCCGCGTCGAACCTGCAGCATCGTTAAGGAGAGTAAGGAACACAATAAGACAAAAAAAGTATAGGCGCACATTCGGTATACGTACGACGCAGTGGTGTATTCGCTAAACGTAGAGTGCAAAGCCTAGAATGCCAGAAAGTTAGGCTACATGGTTGTGCTTCACGAGTAAATACGGTAGGAGCGTAAAAACACGATAAACACGCAGTTTCGTACACGCACAAAGATGAAGAAACGCGTCTCAACGTTGAGGCAAATCGATAGTAGCGGACTCGCATGCCTGAGCCAACAGTCGATCAACATCAATAAAGAAGAAGCCACACGTCCGGACAGATTATCCCCCACGTAGCCGCGCCTGAAGCATTGATAGCTATCGCATCCTGCCCAGCCCTACGCAGATAAGCATTCGTGTCTACTTTCATCTGCGTCACTGTGCACTTTTTTTTTCAGTTGTTAGTCGGTAGTCGGTGTTTTTATGTCGCCCTCACATCTCCTTCATGCCCGTGTCTTGACGTCTGCCGTCTTTTATCACAGAGTGCAAGCTTTTCGTACAGGTGAACAGGAACACAGATAGCAAAGACTAAGCATTCATAACACAGGACCACGAGTTTTTAGCGAAGCCTTCGACTAAAAGATACATCGTACTTTTTATTGCTATTATTATTTGTGTCCCAGAGATGACACAGGCAGAACGTCATCGGTCTAGCATTTCACTAACGAAGCGCGAAAAAAGACAAAAGCAACGCCGCAACATTGCGTTCCTGCACCGCCTTTTTTAAAATTATTATCTGCTATGCGTAATTACTTCGACGGAACCTCGGGGCTTGTTCGCTAAGTGATCCGTAATTGCTGAGATAAATGATCTTGGTGAATGATTCAAATGTTCCGTACGAGTTCCTAGTTACGCACACAACACGATCGCGAAGCTGTTTACGTTTGAATGTAAACTCATCAGCAAGACACCATGATACTTCGATGATCGACTTTATATATATATGAAACAAGGCGTTCATTCAAACAAAGAACACTGAAGCAATTGTACTGCCTACTGTTTCTCCAGTGAAAAGAGAGAAAAGCCGTGCCGTGTAACTTCTACTTCTAATAAATGAAACAGTTGAATAGGCTGACAGCCGCCAAAGCTGTAATGCATAGCAATTGTTGGGGGCTTCCGTACCAAAACCACATCAATATGAGGCACGCCATAGCGAAAGCCTCCGGAAGCTTCCCCATGTGGCGTTATTTAACGTTCACCTAAATCACAGTATACTAGGGCATTGCCACGGCCTCCAACATTTCACCTCTATCAAAATGCGGCCGCCGTGACTGGGATGTATAGCAGGCCATTCCCTCGCCGGTCTGGCCTGAGCTTATAGAGTCCAGGTAAACGTACTCGCAACACGGAACAAGACCAACGACCTGTTTGAGCTTCTCGGTGCTCGGTTTCAAATCTCAGCCCTAGGCTTAAACACTATCAATGCATATACGACATGATACACATAGAGGGTCCTCGCCGTCTTGCTTGCGGGGGCTTGCCGTGGTGCCCAGTATTCTGAATACGCATGGAGCGCAGGCATGAATAAGCGCAGAGAGAGAGAGAGAACGAAAAATATAGAAGAAAGGAAAGAAGAAATATATACATAACAAAAGGGAGCAAAAATTATTGTTATCGCCTGGTAGCCCCGTAACCACCATGTGTCTAGAATAGCATCGAGACATTAACAGCGGCCTTTTTACGGCGCACCGACAGTACGCTAAAGAGCATCGTCGATGCCCCGTTTCCACGGGGACGCGAAATAAGTTGCGCATTGCGTGCTTCGGGTTCGTTATATAAGCGCGCGTCCATTAAGCCTGTCTCGGCCGCATTCTAGCCAAACTACGTTGCGCCTTAATACGAGTTTGAATACCACAGGAGACGACTCCGAAGGCAAGGATGTGCTTTGGTGTGTCCCATGCGCAAAAAATACATTGAATTACTTATCAATAAACAGTGCGTGAAAAGTTCTTGACAAGGCCGCTTGTAATTTGTAGGGACGAAACTTCCTTAAAACGTACTTGCGCGCTATAGTTGGCAAGGCATATATATGGCAGCGCACACCCGGTTTTAGCGAATACGCACACAAAGAGACGACACAAGCGCTGAATTTTATCTGATTTCTATGACGGGATAAATAGCTTACGTAGACAACGAGTACATGGTTCACGGATGAAGTGTGCTTATATAGTGCAACGATCAAAACCAAGGGCAATCCTACTTTCAGAGTATCAGGGCTTTTTGAGACGGCTCACCACTCTCCCATAGTTGAGTACGAAGTATACTCACAATCAATTACCTTTTTTTTTTGTAAACACTTTATACGCCGTCGTGCGATAAACCTTAGACTAGTTTGAGCCCCATTGATTGATATGTGGGGTTTAACGTCCCAAAACCACTATATGATTATGAGAGACGCCGTAGTAGAGGGCTCCGGAAATTTAGACCACCTGGGGTTCTTTAACGTGCACCCAAATCTGAGTACACGGGCCTACAACATTTCCGCCTCCATCGGAAATGCAGCTGCCACAGACAGGATTCGAACCCGCGACCTGCGGAACGAGGCACAGAGAAGAAATTCGGCAGCTTCCGCGTACTTGGGAATCGGCAGCTTCCACGTGTCTGGGACGTGATAGCAGTAAGGATGATGATGATAATGATGATGATGATTATGATGATTATGATTATGATGAACACTATTCGAAACGAGAATAGTGTTCAGAACGAGAATAGGCTTTATGCTCTCCCATAATAGAGTACCTCGTACTCTAAATCGTTAACGACTTTTTCTAAACATACTTTATCATACAGCATCAATCAGTTTGCTTGATGCTCACAAATAAAACGAGCCCTTAAACGTACACTTATTTCATTCTTAGCGAGGGTCTCATTCTGGCAGACTTGGTGCCTTGAGGTGGTAATACGAGGGATCATTGGTCAGCTGCCAGCTCGTATTAAGATCACTTGCTACGCAACGCCAAACAGGCAGAGCAAAAAGCGTTCTACGCTCGCCGTGATGGCTACAGGTGGCGCTGACGTACGCTCCCAAGTTTAATGCACATATATAACTCATAAAGTGGACGGGGAGATAGCCGCCATGGTAGCTCAGTTGGTAGAGCATCGAACGTGTTATTCGAAGGTCGAAGGTTTGGTTCCTGCTCACGGCAAGTTATCTTTTCACCCACTTTTTTTTCCTTCGCATTTACAATAAATTACTCCTAATATTATTTCATATACTTTTCTTGGCATGATAGTCGGTTAGATCTCTTTATTACGACGTCGTATATTGTTACATATCTATATATTTCTTAGTGAAGGGGCTGTTCTAAATCTCATGAGAGATGGGATCCGATATTACACGCAGTGCGAGTGACCGGGAGTCTTCGAGTGGGAAACCGCGCGTAAAAAGGTCTGCCAGCCTGAGGCGGTCAACTCGAGACAGCGGTGGTTAGATAACGCCTTTGTTCCAAGTCAGATAATAATCGCTTCCGTTCACTCGCGCTTGGCTTCACACTCAAAAGGAGGCGGGGTAGAAAATAAACAAAAGGAAAACCGCTCAACCAAGAGATTTGGGGTGAACGTGAAATTCGACCGCGTGCGTGTCTGTCTTGGGGCTAAAAAAAAACATGGCGAAATTACGAAATAATGGCCCCTGGCATGTACGAGGCAAGCACGTCTCAGTATTAGGCAACGACGCGCGGGGCGGTCTAGACGACACCCAAGAGATCTATTTAGTGGTTCTGACCAACTCCGGGGCTGGACATCGAAAGCCGCGCCTAGACAAACAGATCACTCTCAAAAGGCTTCTCCGCGAACCACGGTGCCTCTTATCATGAATCTCTCACTCGTCTTGGAAAATGAAAGGTCCTGAGCGACGTGCCCTGTGTTGGAGGACCGCGGAGCAGTTAGTAGAGTGAGGGTGATCGCCGGCGAGTGCATGGGGAAAAAAAAAAGAAAAGATCGGGGGCCCTTGGCGTGTTGGGAAAATGCGGCTTCACTCAACCAAAAATATCGGCTCTACATGTGCATGCTAATCTGCAAATGTCGTCGAAAGACCGTAGTCTTGCGTCTGGACAGAGTAAACAAAACGTTTATTTGATGTTCTGCGCAAGAAAATCGGTGAATGGTATTCCAGAGGCACTGCGTTAGAGTGCCTCGAGCGTGCAGCGGAGGCGAACGAGCGCATCAAGTCGCGTCACACGTGAGACATGAGCGCTATCTGGCAGTTATCTTGGAAAATGAAGCGTGCGGCTCTGAGACGGGCGAGGTGATAAAGTGTAGAACGCAAGGCGACGGGTAGGTGCCACTACCGTGTCGTCTTAGCAAAACGTTGGAAACACTTGCCCTTTCGTGCAAGTGTTGCATGGTCACCGCAGCGTGATAAACGCTACGGTCCTTAGAATTAATTTAGTAAAAGACGCACATAGTAAATATATACGTGTTGCTATGGTGCCTCAGATATGCGCAATAATTGTTTTTAATTGACAATCGCACAAGTATGAACGCTGAACCTTGAGCAACATTTGTGGGTGCTGTGAATGGGGTCGGCCATTTGGGGTATCGGCTGGTGCCATTTAGAGTACCCAATATCGTTAAGAGTGGACAAACAGTCAAATGGACAGACTAACGCTGTAGGTTATGTCATTTTTACGAATATTGATACCTGTTGTACATATTTCCTAACATCTTCACCAAGTCTTGTAAATTCTGTACATATGTCATCATGTACATTGTCCATATTGTGGTTAGTGTACATATGTAGTGTATGTAGTTATTGGTACCATAGACTATGGACACCGTACGGACTTGGACCTTTATGTTTAAATGTGTAATGTATGTTGTACTTTGCCATTTGTTTGTTATTGTGCTTGTTGTACAGACGCTCGTTCCATAGGTTTGTTGCGTCCCATGATAAAATGAACTTTTTCTGAACGAATGGACAGACATACAAATATTTTTGCATCGAATGTCCCCAAGATAGACT